GTCCCAGCAGCAGCCGCGTCCGCAGCAGCAGCAGTCGCAGCCGCAGCAGCAGCAGCCACTTCCTCCTCCTGTCTCGGGTCTTCGGATCCTTGGTCTCCCCTCCCCTTCTCCTCCCTCCTCCGCCTCTCCTCCTGTCTACGGTCCCACGTTTCCTCCTCCTGACTCCTCCCCCGCTGTTTTCCCCAGTTCTCCGCCCTTGTCCTCTTCTCCTCCGTCTCGTTCTTGGGCTACTCGTCGCTCCCCTCGTGCTCGTCCCTCGTCTCCTGTTCCCTTCACTGACCTTCGTACTGCCTTCCTTCTTTCTAGTCCACCTCGTCCGTCTCAGTCTGTGCTTCCGTCTCCTCCTGAGTCGGCCCTCACTGTGTCGCTCCCTACTCCTGTCACTGACTACTACCGCATGTACCGTCCTGTTCTCTCTCGTGTTCTCGCCTCTCTTGTTACTCACCCTCGTGTCTCTGTGTCCTCTGTGTCCGCTCTTACTGCCGCGGTTACTGACTTTGCCTCTACCCGCCGCCTTGACTACGCCACCACGCTTGTGACTGCTCCTCCTACCAGTCCTCTGGTCGTCGGGGGTGTGTCTGCCCTTGGCTGTGACGCCCTAGAGGACAGGCAGTTTGAGCTAGAGTTCCTGGCGGCCGCTTCCCCTCATCTCTGTGCCATGCTCCTCGCCCCTGAGGGTGACCCCGACGCCCTTGACATTCCGACTCCTCGCACTTACGCTGAGGCAGTGTCAGGGCCTTGGGCCTCTCAGTGGAGAGCTGCCATGGACGCAGAGATGGCCTCCTACAGATCCACAGGCACCTACGTCGATGAGGTTCCCCCCCCTGGGGCGAACGTAGTCGACGGCATGTGGATCTACAGGGTGAATCGGCCACCGGGATCTCCCCCGGTCTTCAAGGCGCGCTACGTGGCTAGAGGTTTCAGTCAGCGCGAGGGAGTTGACTTCTTTCAGACCTTCGCACCTACCCCGAAGATGACCACTCTTCGGGTGTTACTACACGTAGCAGCACAGAGAGACTACGAGTTACACTCTCTTGACTTCTCCACTGCTTTCCTTCAGGGCAGTCTACACGAGGAGGTCTGGTTGCGTCGTCCCTCGGCCTTCACTGGCACTTTCCCTCCTGGGACCCAGTGGAGGCTGAGGCGACCTGTTTACGGTCTTCGCCAGGCCCCTCGTGAGTGGCACGACACTCTGCGTTCTACCCTCTCTGACCTTGGGTTCCAGCCGTCTTTTGCCGACCCGTCGCTGTTCGTTCGTCGTGGCTCCACACCGTTCTTTGTTCTGGTCTACGTCGACGACCTAGTTTTCGCCACTTCGGACAGGGTTGCTTTGGCAGACGTGAAGTCCGAACTGCAGAAGAGACACACGTGCACTGATCTTGGTGAGCTGCGCCACTACCTTGGCCTGCAGATCACCAGGGACAGAGCCGCTCACACCATTACACTCTCACAGTCACACATGGTGCAGCAGGTCCTTCAGCGGTTCGGGCTTCAGCACTCCACCGTACAGCGCACACCTCTAGCTGTTGACCACAGACTCACTGGTCCCTTTCCTGACGAGCCGTTTGAGCCTAGTGGTCCCTACGCAGAGCTTGTGGGTTGCCTCATGTACCTGATGACTTGTACTCGCCCGGACCTCGCCTTCCCTCTCAGCATCCTTGTGCGCTTTGTTGCGCCAGGGAGACACCGTCCTGTTCACTGGACGGCAGCTGTGAGGGTGGCGAAGTACCTAGCGACTACATCAGGCGTGGGGCTAGTTCTTGGAGGGCAGCAGTCTGTCGTACTCACTGGTCACTGTGACTCCTCTTACGCTGACGACGCTGAGACTCACAGGTCTACTCAGGGGTACTGTTTCAGTCTGGGTTCTGGAGCTGTTTCCTGGCGTTCCACGCGCTCCTCTTCTGTCTCGACCTCTACAGCTGAGGCTGAGATTTACGCTGGTGCCATGGCGGCACAGGAGTTGCGGTGGTTGACCTTCTTGCTCGCCGACCTTGGTGAGCGGCCGAGCTCTGCACCGACCTTGTTTACTGACAACAAGGCGTCGATCCTCCTCTGTCGTGAGCCGCGACTGGAGAGCAGAGTGAAGCACATTCACGTCAGGTACTTTCTTCTGCGAGAGTTGCAGAGGCGTGGACAGGCTCGCTTCGAGTTTGTAGAGTCCGAGGCCAACACTGCAGACATCTTCACCAAGGCGCTTCCGCCTTGTGACCACCAGAGGTGTTGTGTGCAGTTAGGCCTTGTTGACACAGGTTCTAGTCATGCGTAGACTTGAGTTTATTGCTTGCTTCGTCTGTACACTTACTATATATACTCGTGATCTCTTGGACTGGCCTTGTGGCCACTGTTGCTTGTGCTCAGAGTGTGTGGTGACGTTGTGATCCACCCTGAGCTTTGTTTTCTTTTGGACTGGTCTTGTGACCGTACTCTTTTTTTTGTTTTTGCTAGACACCCCTCACTTAGGCTATGGGGGTGTGTCATGTCAGAATATTATTCTTATGTTCTAGCCTGTAGTGGGGTGCTCTATAGCGAGTACAACCCTTCTAGGGTTTGCTATTTGTATCCCCATTTCTGCTAGTTCATTTCTCTTTCTTTCTCCTAATTCTGTCATGCTATGAGAGCAGGTCGATCCCCTTGGATCGATCCTATGGGAGGGTTACCACCTCGCTTCCGCTGCTACCTTTCCCTTCCCGCCGTGCGCCCCGAGGCGCGCGGCGGTTTTCCTTCCCGCCGTGCGCCCCGAGGCGCGCGGCGGTTTTCTTCCCGCCGTGCGCCCCGAGGCGCGCGGCGGTTTTCTGCCCGCCGTGCGCCCCGAGGCTCGCGGCGGTTCATTGCGCGCTGTGCGCCCCGAGGCGCGCGGCGGGCTTCTCCCCTACGTCGCGGCCCCGCCCCGATCGTCGCGGCCCCGCCCCTCGACGCGGCCCCGCTCAACGTCGCGGCTCCGCCCCGGCCCGTCGCCGCCCGTGCGCCTGCCCGGCTCGGCCCCGCCCTTCGTCGCGGCCCCGCCCCGGCCCGTCGCCGCCCGTGCGCCTGCCCGGCTCGGCCCCGCCCTACCTTCGCGGCCCCGCCCTACGTCGCGGCCCCGCCCTATGTCGCGGCCCCGCCCCGACCGTCGCGGCCCCGGCCCCGTCCCTCCCCCCCCCCCCCCCCTTTCTCCCCTCCCCCCCATTTCCCGTCGCCCGTCGCGGCTCCTTCGGGGGCCGCCGCTGTGGGGTGGCAGGTATGGGGGTGGCCAGTGTCATGTCAAATGTTGTAGCCTGTAGTGAGGTTTGTCTTTGGGGGTACAGAAGTTAGGGTTTGTTATATGTACCCCAACCAACATCAATGCAACATCCATTCCTCATTCTGACAGTATATCCTAGTGAACTCTTGAACTGGCCTTGTGACCGCTTGCTTGTGCTCGGAATTTGTGTGGTGTCCTTGAGATCCACCCTGAGCTTGTTTTGCTTCTTGTATTGACTGGTCCTGTGACCGCTTGTTAACCCTGCTCGCTTTGATGCCCCTCACTTAGCCTATGGGGGTGTCTCAAATGTTGAAATTTGTGATATGCTGTAGTGAGGTGCTCTTTAGTTAGTACAACTCAGTTAGGGTATGCTATTTTTATCACCCACATTCCTAATCTCATCATTCCGTTGCATTCCTACTTTGAGAAGTATGCCATACGGAGTACAACTTGCTAGGGTTTGTTATTTGTACCCCATTCTTGCCAGTCCATTTCGTTCCGCTATTCAGACATGATCGTCGTCGTCGTATTTGTCATTGCCACCGCCACCTCCGTCGTCATCGTTCGTTGTCGTTGTCGTTGTTGATGTTGATGTTGTAGTGTGTTTTTTTAATTATAATTTTAGATTCAGTTTTTGTTAGAGAGCTAATATGCACACGCAACAAATGTAAAGCATTTGTCGTTCTGTGTTGTCTGGGGAGACTCGATTGCTAGGGGTGGCTTGTCGGTTGCGCGAGTAAGGTTTCGGCGTTTTGTCCATCACCGTACGGCTTGGACGGTGCTCGTTGCTTTTGTGTTGGGCTTACGTCGTCCCCTTTTACTCAAGTGCGCCGCTACCGATGGATACCGCGTTTCGTCACATCAAATTTCGTCCGCAACCGCCTTCGCAACACCGCTTCTCTTCCTTACGTGAAAGAGTTTCCCAGCTCTGGTTTCACCGAGTCCATAACAACACGACGGCTGGGCCATCAATTGCGAAAGCAGCGGATAGAACTTTCGCTTCACTTTTTTTTTGTTCTTTTTTTTATCGCAGTGGCAGTCACGCAACCACCTGACACACAACACCCTCCCAAGCACTGGTCCAGAACCTCCTTGCAGCTTGCCTCAATTTCCCATAATCGTCGCAGATCCTGCTTAGCTCATTGGTCTTTCATAGTGCAATGCGGTCGCAGCAAGGATTGGACTCTGAACCGAATGAGGAGAGTTTGGAGTAGTGGTGGCCTTTAATAATCACAAACTTCCAAGAGCTGCTCGACGAACGAAGTCGGCTGTCGCGAACGTCTGAGTAGAAGGTCTTACTAGGCTTAGGCTAATTTCAAAGCCGCTGACAGTCTGACGTAACGTAGTCTACTACTCGTGGTTGCTGTAGCGGACAGTCGCATTCAATACGTCTCAAAACTCACCGCGATCGCACGGAAGTCCACTGATGGGCTCGTGCGCGGCTGGGGCATGCGTCTCCCCCCTCGACGCTATAACGGCCCACAGGCACCTTCACACCCGCGCGCACAGCGCGGAAACCCTCGCTACGGTCACAGCGTTCCACGACGCAGCAATGGGTGGTTGTAATCAACAGGCAAACCAGAGCTCACTCGTTATCGATATCTGCGATACTGGATCACTCGATACAGGCGTGGTTTCAGCGCAGGACGCAAACGCGTGGGGCTCTGCACCATCATGGCTCCAGCCAGCAGGGACAGCGGCAGCAGCAGCAGCAGCAGCAGCAGCGTTCTACGGGCTTGGCGATCACTCTCGCAGCTTCGCCGGCGCTGCATCCGCGCCAATGGCCCAAGCGCGAGTCTCTCCGTCGGGAGCGCACTTCTCGTATTCCACGCCGCCCAGCCCACTCTCTCTGGACGGCAAGCCGCACTCGTTGGAAGGTCGGATCAGCAACCCTCCTCACGCGCAGCAAGACGCTGGTGTGGCGGAGGCGGCGGAGCTGACGGCGGACCTAGGCGCGATGGGCGGAGACGAGGAGATGGCGGAAGAAGGGAGCTGTGAGGGCGGAGGGGGGTTGGAGTGGCGGCGAGTGGTGGCGATGCTGATGTCGGACACGAAACACGCGATGAAGACTGTGGATTGCGCCATGGGCGGGCAGGGCGGGCAGGACGAGCAGCAGCAGCAGCAGCAACAATGTGACGAGACGCGAAACCAGCAGCTGTCGTACCAGCATGTTGATACGCATCCAGAACAGACGCAACTCTATCATCATGATCACAACTTCCACGACGATAACGAGAACCAGCACCCGCGGCTCGGGAATGACACTGCGCAGTGTCACCATCGCAACTGGCAGGTGACACCATCCGCCTCATCTCCGCTCAAGCTCGTTATACCCATCCCGCGGCACCACGGGGAGACCCACTCCGCAGCAACTACCACAGCGACACACGTTGGCGATGCCATGGCCGGTCCAGCCTCCAGCGATGGGATCACGGCCCACCAACTGCAAATCACGCCTCAGCTGCAAAGCCCGTTTTCACAACACCAAGTCTATCCTGCGCCATCTCCCTTATTCTCGACTCCTGTCGGCGACTCACCACCGTCGAACTATCGATCCGAAATCGGCAGCGACGGTAAGGCGCGCCGAGTCCCGCCTCGACACTGCGAACGGAGCCTCCAGCCGCTCAAGCTGTCGCTGACGGAAGCTCGCCCGCACGACCTGCTTGGCTCGGAGCAGCCTGCGTCGGAGGGATGGCGAAGCAAGTCAAAACGGCGCGAGGAAGTAACAGTGGGGTCACCTCGCGCTCAAGTGTTGTCGCCTGGCGTGCAGATGGTGTCGCCTGGCGACGGGTTCGCGTCGCCTACAGGCCCGACGTCCTCGCCTGGCGTTCGGATGGCGACGTCCCCTGGCCTACAGTCGCCGCCAACAATTCTGCTCGATGACATGAGCGCACGGAGTGGGCGAAGCGCACCGAAGCGAAGGCGCGGACATTCTGGTTCTTGGGAGGTACGTCTCAGAGTAACTTGCTATCTGAGTACCAACGCGGTTGACTTTGTTGCGAGTCGCGTTTTTTCTCGACTAGTAGTTTCTACGTTTCACGCTCTTCCGTTACCCCCCCTACCGCATTCCCTCAGGCTCGGGGGAGTAGCGCTTCCCCAGGTGCCCATAGAGCCGCGGTTGCGCAAGAGGAACGCTCTGCAGGAGCAGTCAGCGCGATACCCGCTGCTGCCGCTACCCCATTTGAGGGGCCTGATTGGCTGCACCACCTGCACTCGGGCAAGCTGCAAACGCTCCCCATCATGGTACGCCGCATCATGGTGGACGGAAAAAACGCGGCTTCGTCATCTAACATGTTACCATTCGACTGTACACCGTTTACCATCCCTGATTCCTCATCTTGCGCTAGGCCTGGTGAGCGTCGATCTCAAATACTAAGTTAACGGCTTTCGTGTGTACTCTGGCTTATATCGTTCTGAACAGCTACGGATGGAGACGACCAAGGATCGCATTTCGCTGCTACGACAACTCGTCGCACCCGCACTAACGAAGGTAACAAAAAAGTGGAATGATAGTATCAGCAATTGAAGTAGGTCCTTGCTAGCAGACGCACTGCTCAATGCTTTTCCCAACGCTCCAAATCTGCTCATGTTTGCAGGGAGACACGGCAACGGTGCTTGGTGAGGTCGAACTGTTTGTGAGGGCAGTTTACGAGAAGCTCAAGGAGATCAGCAACAGTCACGAGCAGCACGCCGCGTTTCCCGCCAACAAGAATGGGGAGGGGTTGTGCGCTCCGGCTAGTGGCTGGGCACAGAATGAATTTGGGATGGATGGAGGCATTGGTGGGCGCGGTGGCGTGGGATTGGCTGCCAAGGGCCTGACGCTGGCTACTCGACGAACCGCGGAGAACTTCGTGAATCGAGCAACACATTGTAGGAAGCTGTAACCGTTTCAACGGAGTTTGATAACTATTTGAACGAGAAGCATATTTTTGCTCCTGGTTCAGCTAGTTACCTTATTTCCACTCATGTCCAATATTAAAACTGACAGCTGCATAGTTTCTTTTTATTCCGTTGTGAAAGGAATTTAGATTAGCATCAGTGTATTTTTACTTAGAAACTAATTCTTCTCGATTTATATGAAACTGGCCAGTGCCTTAACGAGATTTCTGTTCTTCAAATATTCATTTTGTCCATTGCAAGTGCACTGCCTGCTTTACTATTCCTGCACCTTGTTCAACATCATAAAAGCACTTTATAGGGATTGTTTCATGTACCCCCATTGTCTCAAGATTCCCGCCTCCATTGCTGTGCTGGCTATGCCACCTTCCAAGCTGGCAAGGATCTTCAACGACGAGTTACCGCGGCATTCTAATTCGTTTTGCTTCGACAAAATGTTGTGCGAGCTTCGCTTCGTGAATCTGGATATTTCAGCGTTGCCCTTGATGATCTTGATGTGAAGTGGGCTGGATCGGGGCGAGATACGGTTTAGTGGGATGACAGGGGATATATTTTACAAGTGTGATCATCGAGTAGTAGGGAAGAACAGGCAGCACAGCGCGAGTAAGACACAAGCAACAGAATCAGCAGCAGCACCCATTCTTGACATTCAGCATTCTCTTTTGATGTGCTCCACCATTGCCAGACTTGTTCAGAATCACCTTCTGTAACCCGTTCATAGTCTCATGATATAGAATAGTTGACCATCGTACACGTGACTCGCTATTGACATGGCTGCGCACTCGATTGTTGCGACTCTGCTGCTTCTGTCCCTCGTTGCGCGCGCCTCGGCGTTCGATCTGTCGGTCAGCCCAGCCGACGTGCTCACCGCAGGATTGAAGGTTGGACCCGCCAAGGACGTCGTAAGTGCCAGAAACACCCGTCGCCCCGCGCTCTCGGTAGTAATCGACTCATTCGCATTGCTCTCCGTCCATCTCCCTGCCAACATGTCCGGATGCAACCCGTCTTACAACAACCGATCCTGCCGTGCTGTTTCAGGCAAACTCCTCCTCCTCCCCCCTCCCTCTCCTCCTCCTCCCCCCTCCCTCTCCTCCTCCCTCTCTCCTCCTCCTCGCGCACAGGAATCGGCGGGGATCGATCTCAGCATGGTGGTGCGACTATCCGATAAGGAGCCGCGCGCGTTTCTGTATAAGAGCTTCCTGTCGGACGAGGAGTGCGACCACATCGTCAACATCGCCACCGCTAGACTCGCCAGGTACCCCCTATCCGTTTCCGCCTTTCCCGCTTCCCATTTCCCGCTTCACCTTTCCCGCTTCCCCTTCCCACCTCCCATTTCCCGCTTCCCCTTTCCCGCTTCCCCGTTCTTGCTTCCCCTTTCTCTGGTCCCCTTCCCCTTTCCCGCTTCCGCCTTCCCCATTCCCCCTCCCTCCCCTCCCCCCACCAGGTCGGCAGTGGCGGACGGCAGCAGCGGGAAGAGCGTGGTGAGCGAGGTGCGCACGTCCACAGGCATGTTCCTCACTAAAGGCGAGGATGACGTCATCCGAGCCATAGAGCAGCGCGTCAGCGAGTGGACATTCCTTCCCGTGGCCAATCAGGAGGCTCTGCAGGTACCGTGGCCAATCAGGAGGCTCTGCAGGTACCGTGCGTGCTTGGGGCATATGCGGATTGATCTTGGCATGCCACCGCCAGGTGCTGTGACTTGGCATGCCCACCACTGTGGGCTTGGCTGCCCCTCGTTTGTACCACTGTTGAGAAGTCTCACAAGTGATACAAGCAGAGTCCTGCCCCCCAGCTCCCACCTGCTGCAGCACGGCTGTGCGCCTCAAGTCTCACCTGCGCTTACACTGATCCCTCGTGGCTCCCCTCTCCTTGTTACCTCTACCATCCCATCCCATCCCACTCTCCGCTCCACTCGTCAGTCCATCTCCACTCCACTCCACTCCACTCCACTCCACTCCTCCTCAGCCCTTTTCCTCCACTCCACTCCGTGCGAGCCCTTTTCTGTGCCCCTCAGGTCGTGCATTACGGCACAGGGGAGAAGCACAATCCGCATCCGCACTTGGACTACTCACTCCCTCTTCACTCCTCTCTTTGCCACCTCCTCCATCGCATACCATGCCTTGCCTGCCATCGCCACCCCCCACCCCGTCCACACACACCTGCTCGTGCTGCAGTGCCCCTGTGCGCTGAAAATGCGGCATTTACCACACTCCACCCCACTCCACCCATCCACTCCACTCCTCCTCAACCCTTCTCCGTGCTCGTTAGGTCCTGCGGTATGGCGTCGGGCAGAAGTACGACCCACACCTGGACTATCTCTTCGACCCCGTCAACACGCGGCTGCACTTGTTGCAGTGTGCGGTTGTTTACCAGAAGTCCAACCTGTACCACACTCCATCCCCCTCCACCCCACTTCAACGCACCCCACCGCACCCCACTGCACCGCACTCCTTTCCCCTCAGGTGCTGTGGTATGCCATCGGGCAGAAGTACGACGGCCATGTGGACTATTTCTCCCACCCCGTCAACATGCAGCTACAGGTGCTGTGCTGGAGTATGACTGTGCACCAGAAGCCCAACCTGTACCGCACTCCACCCCCCTCCACCCCATTCCACCGCACTCCACCGCACTCAGGTCCTGCGGTACGCCATCGGGCAGAAGTACGACGCCCACCTCGACTATTTCTCGGACCCCGTCAACACGCAGCTGGGCGGGCACCGCTACGCCACGCTGCTCATGTACCTCAGCAACGTCACCAAGGGCGGAGAGACCGTCTTCCCCACGGTGAAAGACGACACGCCGAAAGATGACTCATGGTCCGACTGCGCCAAGGGCGCCCTCGCTGGTCAGTGCTGGGGGTGATGGTGCTGGTGCGTTGGTGGGGTTGACGGGCAGCCGCGGCAAGGGTATTCCCGGTGCTCATGTGGTCAGCCGTGCTCATATGGTCAGCAACGTGACTACAAGGGGGCCGAGGCAGCCTTCCCCTCACCCAAGGACGACACGTGGTTGGACTCGCGAGAGGGTGAGAACAGAGTGCAGAGGACGAGGGAGTGGAAGCTGGTGAGGGAGAGGGAAGGGGTGAAGAGAAGGGACGAACACCCAATCCTCCCTCCCTGCGCCTCCAATCCTGCCCCACCTCCCCACCCCTCCTCCGCTGCCTCTCCCTTCCCACTTCTCTGCCCTCTCTCCTTCCCCATCCCTCCCCCCTTGCCACTCTCTTTCAACCCATGCGTCCCCTCCCCTCTCTCCCTACACCACCCCCTCCCACCCCTCCCTCCCCACCCGTCCCGCCCCTCTCCCACCAGTGAAGCCCATCAAGGGTGACGCACTGCGTTTCTTCAACATGCATCCGCACGGCTCCCCTGCCCCGCCTATTTACTCCATGCGTGCTCTGTAGTGGAGGGCAGGGCAGGGCACCATGTGGTGACTTTTGAGTCGACTCAAAAGTCACCTTGCTCTGTAGTGGAGGGCAGGGCAGGGCACCATGTGCTTCCAACCTACTCCTCTCCCCATGCCCCTCCCCACCCCTCCCCGCCTTTCGCCATCCTCCCCTCCCCCACACCAGTGAAGCCCATCCACACGGCTCCCTTGACGCCACCTCCTTGCACCACGTGTGCCCAGGATGCGCATCCCCCCCCTGCCTATCCCTCCCTATTATTCCCTGCCTGCAAAACCCTCCCTCCATCCCCACCCCTCCTTCCCCATCCCCCCCACTGCTGCGCCCCTCCCCCAGCAGTGAAGCCCATCAAGGGCACGCACTACTCTTCTTCAACATGCATCCACACGGCTCCCCTGCCCCGCCTCCTTACACCACGCGTGCCCCGTGGTGGAGGGCATCAACTCGTTCCAACCTACTCCTCTTCACCTGCCCTTCCCCACCCCTCTCCACCCTTCTCCACCCCTCCCCTTCCCCATGCCACCAGTGAAGCCCATCAAGGGCGACGCCCTGCTTTTCTTCAACATGCATCCAGACGGTTCCCCTGACCCCTCCTCGCTGCACCATGCATGCCCGGTAGTGGAGGGCATCAAGTGGTCAGCACCCAAGTGGATCCGCATGGGCGATGTCACCGTGCCGCTGGGTGATGCTGTCACCGCCGCCTGTCAGGACAGCAACGCTTAGTGAGTGCGGATTGGTTGTGTGGGTTTCAGTTTTCCCCGTGCCACCGCGTGCTGCTGTCACTCTTTACACCACGCCTGCCCTGTGTGGAGGGCACCAAGTGGTCAGCACACCCAAGTGGATCCGCATGGCCGACGTTCCCGTGCCGCTGGTTGATGCTGCATCTAGTGAGTGATGGTTGGTTGTGTGGGTAGCGAATGTGAGGGATAGAGGTGCGTTAGAATGGATGCAGATGGGCAACGTGGTGGTGCTGCTGGGTGCTGCCACCTTGCCTGCCTGCCAGCACAAGCATGCGCACTCGATGGTGTGCGGGGCGTCAATGTGTGTGAGGGCTACGTGAGTCATCGGGGCCTGGCAGGGTGGGATACAGTAACCTCCATGGTGAGCATAGAGTGTGTCTCTATGTGCTGCGGCCTCACCTGCTTGCCTCCTGCTTTCGCCTGCCCTGACAGATGACTGAACCTCATAGTGCCTCCTCGCCCTCTCTTCCCTGTTCGGACATTGACGTATTTTACCACACACCCTGCTCCACCCCCTCCCCCCCAATGTGCAGCTGTGAGGCGTGGGCCAAGGAGGGCCACTGCACATCGGAGCAGTACAAGGGGTACATGGTTGGTACGCCAGGGTCACCCGGGGCTTGTCGCAAGGCCTGCAATGCCTGTCACCTGTAGGGTGTGAGTCTCATTGTGTGGTCAACATTGTGGGCTTATTGGCCGTAACCTGACCCCAAATGATGGTGCTTCGTTACAACAGGTTCGAGTTATCACGTGATATGAACTTTCGAACCACATAACGAAAAGCAATTTCCAGGTTATTATTTGATGGATGCATTCGGAAGTTAACACTTCACGTCTCAATCCTGTTTCACTGTTATATTGGTAGGGGCCGCGCGAACGCGAGCCCCCGCTGCCACAAATTATGACGTGCATCACCGGGAGTTCCGGCGTGCTAGGAGTAAGGCCGGCCGAAGTGCAATGGCGAGCCCTCCCCTAAGCCATCGGCCTTCGTGATCACCGATAGACTCCGCCCAGGTAAGTATATCAAAAGCAAGTTGAGGTGGAGTTTATGTTCCCAATGGTTCAACACGTGCTGTAATGTCCCATGGGCTTACATTGCCACGTGTCATACTATTCTGGCTGGGTTTGGTAGCTTGCTTTCTGCACACAGGGTCATTTGGCCCATCTATGAGACGCGAGTTCGATACTTCGTGATGCGAATTTCGCGTTTCTATGTAGAGCGAGGCAAGCACTACACCACCATATTGGTGTCACTTCCCACTGTGCCTGCCGCCACTCCAAACTTGCGCTAGACTCGACGGATAACAACATGGCGATCGCTTGTCGCTGGTACTGTCGCAGACGCGGCGACGAAGTAGATATAAGAGTCATACATTTTTCCTCCCAATGCAAGTCGCAGTGGACTCTGCCAGCGCCGTTAGCAACTCCGTCGCTCTGTCCCAAGCCCGCATCGCAGAGGGTAGCGTCGCAGAGGTTACCGTCGCAGAGGGTAGCGTCGCAGAAGGTAGCGTCGCAGAAGGTAGCGTCGCAGAGGGTATATCGCAGAGGGCGTCGCAGAGGGTATATCGCAGAGGGTAACATCGCAGAGGGCAACATCGCAGAGGGTATATCGCAGAGGGTGCGTCGCAGACTGTGATCGAAATGACCAGCAGGACCGCTGTCCAATGCACTGTCCGAAGGGGAACCCAGACGCGACTCGGCTTCTCGGCTGCAGTGCAAGGCGAGACGGGAATCCACCTCCCTCCGTCCGGCTCTGTCCGTCCAAATCTCATATCCTCGTTCCCTACGGTACCCGCGACACAGTGGTTTTATGGCAGCGGACCCGGAATACGAGCCTACATTAAAAAAACTCGCAACTCAAAAACTAATGGCCCCATAGCGTTTTACTGGCCGTTGGATCCGACACGTGCGCCAGGCGCCTTAGAAGCCGATGTGCTTCGTTGCCCTTCCCCAGCCTGCATGCGCGCGTGAGGTGCGAGCAGTAGTTTGTACCGTCTAAGCTGTGCGATGGTGTGTGAGGTGACTTTCACATAGAACCGAGGGAGATCAGAGTCAACATCGCGACGCACGTGAGACGAGCGCACACAACCGTTTTCGTCCCTCGTTTTCACCGAACGCCGTTCCAAGCACTTGCTGTCCTGCCCGATTCTCGTGCCAACCCCCTCTCAAACGGTCCCAACCCCTCTCGGCCTCTGCCAATCACGTGGTCCCCGCTCACTTACCGCATCTCCTCCCATCCCATCGGCGTCCCTGCTGTCATGCCCATTGCCCAACACTTAGGTTCTGAAGCGCAAGGATCGCATGCCTGGGCGCGCGTGCGTTTGCATGCTCTCGAGGCGCCTCAAAAGTCGTTAGGATTGCACGTGCGTGCAAGAGGCATGCTTGGTCGGCCTTGGGCTCATCCATGCACGCGGCATCACGGCAAAGTGGCGAGGCGTCCTTGCTGGGAACCAATGAGTATGGGGACGAGGGGAGGCGGAGGGGGATCGTGCAGGGAAGCGAGTGAAGGGACTTCAGGGGATAGGGGGGAAGGAGGGGGGTTGGGGGAACTAGGGGGTTTCGGGGGAGGCTGGAAGGGGTTTGCAGAAGGGGCGGGGGCAAGGCTGACGAGGATGACGCATGTATGTACCCGCGCAGTGCAGTATGTCCATCTATTGGATGCCACGTGAGCCACGACGTGTGTACGCCAACTGTGTGGCAGTGCGGCGATGAGGGGCGCTCATGCTCGCTCCCTTGCTGCACTCGCCTGGCAGGCTGGGTGGGTGCGCGAGAGCAGGGTGGGCGAGTGAGAGCAGGGTGGGCGGGTGAGAGCAGGGTGGGCGGGTGAGAGCAGGGTGGGCGGGTGAGAGCAGGGTGGGCGGGTGAGAGCAGCTTGGGCGGGGCGAGCTCTTTCCCTTGCACACCTGCCTGCCCAACAGTCCTCTCAGTTTCCATGCCTCCCAACTTCCCTCTCACTTTTGGAATAAGTTTTTTCAAGACCATCTCAAAGCGGATTTCCCCTTGCACTCGTGGCTACAGCAGAGATATTCACTCTGATGAATGCCTTATGAGAGATTGAATATGAGAGACGGCTTCTGAGATATGCATTCTGAAATATCCCCTCACTGCTCTCCAAAACCCCACTCTTGTCATACCTCCCCCACTCTTATCCCTCACCCCTGTTATAGGCCCCACTCCTCTCATACCCCTCACTCCTCTTCTATCCCCTACTCCCATACCCCTCACGCCTCTTCTATCCCCTACTCCCATACCCCTCACGCTTCTTCTATCCCCTACTCCCATACCCCTCACTCCTCTTCTATCCCCTACTCCCATACCCCTCGCTCCTCTTCTATCCCCTACTCCCATACCCCTCACTCCTCTTCTATCCCCTACTCCCATACCCCTCACTCCCTAAGCACCCACGATTTCTCTCATACCCTCCACTCCTCCCACACTCCCCTCATTCCCCGCACCCCTCTCATACCGCCAACTCCTCTCATACCCACCACTCCCCTCACACACCCCACTGCTCTCATACCCACCCTTGCTCTCCTGCCTTTTACGATTGCACTCCTGCTTTCCACCTGTACCCTCCTGCTTCCCCCCCTTCCTCTCCTGCTTCCCCCCCTTCCTCTCCTGATTCCCCCCCTTCCTCTCCTGATTCCCCCTTTTCCTTTCCTGCTCCCCCCCCTTCCTCTCCTTATTTCCGCCCTTCCTCTCCTTATTTCCGCCGTTGCACTCCTGTTTTCCGCCCTTGCACTCCTGTTTTCCGCCCTGCACTCCTGTTTTCCGCCCGTGCACTCCTGTTTTCCGCCCGTGCACTCCTGTTTTCTGCCCGTGCATTCCTGTTTTCTGCCAGTGCACTCCTGTTTTCTGCCCGCGCTCTCCTGTTTTCTGCCCGTGCACTCCTGTTTTCTGCCCGTGCACTCCTCCTTTTGTCGCTTCAACATCAACAACAGCCTTTCCTCAGTGCCTCCAACTCCCACTGTTTCGTTTGCTAATCTCTGCTCTTTTTGCAGTATTCATCCCAACCATGCCTTTTCATCCCACCCATGCCTTTTCATCCCACCCATGCCTTTTCATCCCACCCATGCTTTTTTTTCAGCCCACCCCGGCCTTTTCCATGACGTGAGTTGGTACCGGTAGGTCAACTACCATGCCTCTCCCGGACCTGTGGCTCGTTTTAGGTTAGGAATGCGTATTGTGGCTGCATGGTGCTGTGCAATGCTTGCATTGGTCAATTTAAAGTTATTAGTACCGGTATGCTGTGCTTGCAGATACATCTGTCAGGTTGTGTGTTGTTCTGCAAAGTGGATACCCTGGCAAGTTTCTTGAACTGGTATGATACTCCACAGTATATATCATACACGGATTGGTTTCTGACACACCTTTTTGTAGGCAAACTAGATGTTCCATCATGCAATACAAGTTTTATTTTAAGCTCAGAGCGCAGAGCAAAAAGTAGTACCACTATGAGCAGCTCGATTCAGGGGACAAGTGTGAATCTTATTCGTTGGTAGCTGAAAGCCAATTAGAGCACATGATTTTTCTAGTTAGAGATGATTCCACTGCCAAAATGATGGTGCTGTGTGAGGAGCTGAGGTAGGCTTTTGGCACATGAGAACACCTTGGAATGAGCCACACTTGATCACAATTTTCCATAGAGTAACTAATAAGAACCAGCAGCGGTTACTTTGGATGCAAAAACTTTGTGGCCACGTGGTCATGACATGCAGAACACATCCATGGATACGTAAGGATGACGGGAACGTGCTGCAACTATTGAACAGCCGCAGCAGACTTCTTTTGAGCAGCAATCACACGAGAGGTCAATAGAGAGCACACCGCCCATACTTTTTCCCTAATGCCAATAGACGGCGTAAGCCGCCAGATAGAAGCGCAGGCCTCGGATAAGCGCCAGCGCTTATAAAATGATGAGGGCGCTTGTATCCGGTCCTCGATTATACGGTAAGCGCACCCTCTAGAAAAAGATGATATATTATA